CCTTAGCTGTCACAAATGAGAGGACTAGAGCTCATACTATTGACATCTAGAATCAGATACCAGTGACGCTATTAAAGATTCTTTAGTCCACAGGACAGATCTCTGCAGTGGAGAATTACCCAGCCAGGAATGCCAATAGCATAGAGATTGAGAAAACCTGCATTAGCTAAACACGAACACAAATCAACAGGGTCTAAATGGCTATGCATCTTAGAGTTAATAACTCGTTAATGTTTCCACATGTCTTAGATTTCACGTACACTGACAGATCAGATGGTGCTCTTCACTCGGCTCATTGGCTTTTTTCACCACCAAGATGTTTTGCCTGTTTCTCTGGGTTTTGTTTGTAGGTCAGATTTCTTTTTTATTATTCCCAAGTAAAGTTTTGGATTTTTAGCTATTGAAATCCCTGGCTGGATAATTCATCACTGAGATCCATCCTGTGGCTTGCAGAACGTTTAACAGCATCACATTTTGGGGCCCAGGGCAATAGCATAGTGGTTAAGGTCTTTGCCTTGCATACACCGGGATCCATATGGTTGCCAGTTCTAATCCTGGTGACCCTGCTTCCCATCCAGCTTCCTGCTTGTGGCCTTGGAAAGCAGTCGAGGACAGCCCAAAGCCTTGGTACCCTGCACCGGCATGGGAGACCCGGAAGAGCTCCTGTACCCTGGCTTCAGATTGGCTCAGCTAGCTCCAGCCGTTGCAGTCACTTGGGGAGTGAACCATCAGACAGAAGATCTTCCTCTCTGTCTCTCCTCCTCTCAGTATATCTGTCTTTCCAATAAAAATAAATCTTAAAAAAAACAGCATCACATTTAGAGGTACAGCAAAGAATTTAGAACTTTTTGAGGGAAGGAAGCAGGCATAACCCAACCTAAAGCAGTATACCACAGAAGACCCAATCCTAGAATCTATAACTTTCCTGTAGCACAAATCCTATTCACTCCTTTTGCACGATTTTGACCATTTACATGTGCCAGCCACTACATTAGGTGTTATGGACACAAAACAAAACAATAAAAAGAGTCTGGCTCAGATTATTCATCTTTTTTTTTTCAGTAACTGAAAAACTAAGACTTCTAGCATAGTCTTAAGAAACTTTTAGAGGTCAGTCTTGTCTGTTAGACTATCTTTAGCATTCTCTGAAGCCTCATAACAACCCCTTCCCAGAGCTCTGACTGCACTTGAAATCAAGGCTCTGAGAAGTTGTGAGACAGCCACCATGACAAACAATTATCACAGATTGTCAAATGGGAGATGAGGCTTATTCCAAAGCGACTGCGCTTGGCACAATTCTGAAGAGATCATTCCTCTCATCCTCCTACATCCAAGTAAAAATGTTTAGTTTCCTGTATTTGGAAAGCCAATCCTACTTCATATGCCAGAGACACATTCCACTTAGTTTCTAGAGATAAAGTCAAAAGTGCATAGGACTTCTGATGCTTAAAATAGAAATACTTAGAATTTAAAAACAAAATACATTTGTGCATTTATCTAATCACGCAATCAGAAAAATAGAATAAAACCTCCAGGAGCCAACAACAACACTCCAAGCATTGCAAACATGCAGAATGTTTTAAATCATGGGCCAATTTCATAGAAACACATATAATTAATGCAAGTAACATATTTAAAAATTAACTATTAAAACATCTTAAAATCACAGACATTTAAAAGGACAGAATATTTTCAATGATTCAGACTTTTGATTTTAATAAAATCGTTTTTATATAGATTACTTACTAAATTGAATTTTTACACCAGAAAACATTAAAAACAAGATTTGCTAATTTCCCCTTAATTAGCAAGTATATAACACTATATTAATAGAACAAGAGGGCACACATATATGTGTATATTATATATAAACACATATGTGCATATGTAATTATAAATAAATACAACAGGCTTTTTAATTTCCCTGTTATTTGAGAGGCAGCAAAGGTACAGAGAAAGAATCAGAAAGCTCTGTCCACTGGCTCACTCCACCAGATGTCTGTAACAGTTGGGGCTGGGCGAGGCAGAAGGCAGGAGCAGGAATTCAAACCGTGTCTCTGGGAAAAAGACGGCAGGGACCTAAGTAGCTGAGCCACCACCATTATCTCCCAGAGACTATACTAGCAAAGAGCTGGAGTCAGAAACCAAGCTGGCACTCAATGTGGGAAAAAGTACTTACCTAGGCCAATCACCTGCCCAAAAGGCTTCACTATTTGAACTTTAAACCAATTTTAAAAAATAATAATCAGTTCAGCTGCTTATTCATAACAGATGTAGCAAGGGAATAATCTTGAAGGAAGGGAGAAATTCGTATTTGAGCCCAATTACTCAGGGAAATTCATATATACTTTATAGCTCAAATGAAAACTTACAGGGGTCAGCGCTGTGGTATAAAGGGTTAAGCTGTCTCCTATAATGCCAGCATCCTGTATACTGGCGCTGCATACTATAGTACTGGTTTAGGTTCCAGCTACTTGACTTGCTATCCAGCTTCCTGCTACAATGCCTGAGAAAACAGCAGATGAATGCCCAATACTTTGGTTCTTGCCACCCCCACAGCAGACCCAAGGATAAAGTTCTTGGCTCCTGGCTTCAACCTGGCCTACCTTGCCTGTTGTTGTCTTGGGATTGAGATAACAGAAGCAAAACAAACCCTATTCTTTCTCTTTCTCCGTCTCTCTCCTCTTCATCCTATCCCTCTTACTCTGCCTTTCAAATAAATAAATAAATAAATAAAAATGTTACACTTCTTTTCTAAGATGCTTTACAACAAACACTTTGCAGGCAACTTATCCCAACAGTATAAGCTGTTAATGCTTCCTACAGAACCATACCTTTGTACTTCTATCTTTAATAATTTATGCCTATCATATGCATGTAAATTATTGAATGGCTGAACAGAACTTTTCCAAATGAATCATAAGCAGTATGAATATTCCAAAGGTTTCAGTTTGTTTTATATTCTGATTATTGGCTATTACAAACTTCAGGGTTTTGTAGTATGAATTTGTTAACAAACTCTTAGGAGTTGCATCAGTTTTTTAGGATTTCGAACTTTCTGAAAATCATTCAGGCCCAGGAAGTGTTGTGGTACGCAGTTGCAACCTACAGCACTGCTCAAGTTCTGGCTGATCCACTTGAAATCCACCTCCCCACCAGTGGGTCCCTGCACCCATATAGGAGACCTGGAAGAAGCTCCCGGTCCACTGCAGCCATTGCGGGAGTGAACCAGTGAATAGAGGATCTCCCTCTGCCTCTTTCTCTTTTCTCTCTCTCTTGTGGAACTCGAATTAGCTACTTGAAATCTCCTGAGAAGGGCCACCTGTGACGTGATGTCTAATGGGAGAGGAAGAGCAGCCTGGGAGAGGTTCTCCCTGGGAGTCTAAATTTCTTGTCCATCTCAAAAGAACAAATACCATATGTTCTCTCCTAGATAAGGAAACCAGCATGGAAAGAGTAACTTCAATAACCCAACCCATACTGTTTGTTTGTTTTGGCTGCATCTCATGTGTTTTGATGTTTGTTATTTCAGTTATATATATTCCAAATACTTTCTTTTCTCTTGTCTAATTCATTGCTGGCTCGTGGATTACATGGTGGCACCATTATTCCCAAGAGAATTGTGATTCCTTTTTGTCACTCATGTTTTGGTTACTCAGTGGAGCATTTTTTTTCATGGTTCTATAATTTGTTGTTGTTGTTGAGGCTGTTGTTCTAACTCATACCAGTTATTTACCTTATTTCATGGCTATTCAATTATGGAAATGTATAGTGAGTACTGGGGCCTAACATATCCAGATGTGGGGGTATAATGCAACATGCATCCCTGATTTGAGACAAAAGATGGATTCCCTATTAAACTGCTAGACATGTGTAGACAATGGAATGCAGGACTCTCTGACATTGTCTGTACCAGCAATGTTGGGGTAAACTTAAATAAGAGACTGATGGAATTATGATTCCTTATGAAGGACTATACCACTGTAGTAAAATGGGGAAAATTTGTTGCAGGGTGGGAGTTTGGGGGAGAAATCCCAGTCAATATGAAATTGTACCAAGTAAATCAAAAATTCAAAATAAAAAATATATAAACAAATCTTTTTAAAAATTAAAATATTCATCATTTGCATTTAATTTTAAATGATTTCCAAAGGCACAATCTCATTATCAGTTTCTTCAGTGTGTTGACCCTTTGGAATAACTACAAAATAACAATACAGAGCATTTTCCATGCACAAAATCCTGAATTTAAAGCCAGGAAAAACACGAAGAATCTCAGGGTCACTTTGCCGATGCTATTACTGCAGCCAAGAGGAATGCAGTGACTTGCTCAACATGGCAAAGGATGTTTGTAGAAAGCCTATTACATAAAGCCCAAGAGCTAGCAGGCCTTGAGTTTTCCGCAAACACTTGTAAGATCCAAGTGCTGGGGGAAAAAAATCCATGTACTGAGGGAAGGTAATACGTAAACATGAGACTGGGGACATAACCAGTAAACACTTGACAGTTTAAGGAACTGCTGCCATCAGCCAGAAAACAGTGAATGTAGGCCTGAGCTAGGGAGGTAGCCAGACCCTACACAGAGGGAAGCTACAACATAGAAGCTTTAAGGGCATAAAAATCAAAACAAGGAAAAAAAATGTCCTCCAGATAAAAGCAAACAAAGGAAGAAACCTAAAGAAACAGGGAGAACATTACTAATAAAATACTTTCCTACAGCAAAAGCCTCTAACATACCTTCTAGAGTAACTGCAGATAACAGCATCCATGTATGCCCACCTGCTTACATGTTCAAGAAAAAGAAACCTAGTTCTACAGTGAGAAAACTCTTAATCTCCTCCAAGTATATTGAAATATACATCATCATGAGTTACAGCCATCCTAGTATGCCACAGACCCCCATATGTACGTCTCACTGCAACCCATTCATATTCATAATTGCATTTCTCCATGAAAAGGAAAGTAAAAAAATCCAGTTTTGAGGACAATTTATTACTTACCAAGCCTGCTATTGGTGTGGATAGCCTATTCACCTTCTTAATGATGCCTGGTTTAAGCTTATTGACCAAACTGAAAGCAAACAAAGAAATAGCATGCTATTATAAGAATGCTAATTCCAGTCTAGTGGCAATTTAACATTCTCAAAAATCACACGCCCCTATCCATCACCCAATATGTTATTCAGAATCAAAAGTTCATTACAAACAAGTCAAGAAACAAAGAACTGGGTCCCACGGTGGTGACTGGGTCTGCAATGGACCACACAGGCACCCTTCTTCTTCCAAAGTCATGTCCTTCAAAACAGTTTCACAGGTATTAAAGGAAGGTAATATTTGAATATATTCCCATAGCCAGTCTTAGAATATCTCTAATCATAATTTAACTCTTAGTTTACTGATATACATTGCTATTCCTAAGAAAAAATTTTTTCTAATAATGTCACTGATCATTTTTCCTCTCAAACTTATCTTTATTTAGACAGAAAGCTTTCTACCCATGTTATCTGGCCACATTCCATGGGTGCAGTGGAACTGACCCAGTCAACAAATATAGACTTATTAGTAATTCTTTAAAGTCCATCGATCGACGAAATTAATATGACAGTTACTGCAAAGCTATCTAAGTTTCTATCTCCTAAAAACTTTAAAAACAAAAATCTCAACTTTGACAACTGTAACTTACAGTACTTTATTGGTTCTAAGTTTAGACAAGTATTCTTTCCTTCCCCCTTTTTTTTTGGTTATTCACTGATGTAGTACCAGGCAAGGGAGAAATTTACTATCAAAATACATTTCTATCAACAACAGCTTGGTCAATCAATCATTAGTCATTTTCAAAAACACTATCTTCAGCAGTGATTTTCATATTCAATAATTCATTTAAAAGAAAGTGACTTCCTTTTACTCTGTAACAGAATTCCAGGAAAAATTACAAATGCAGAAGAAAGAATCAAACATTCGTAATTCCTGGTCGCCTCTTCACAATGAGGAATGGGGAAAAAATTGAGAAGCTTGTGGAATGTCACTCTTTCAACATTCCAGGGATTTGTATGTACACTTGAGTGAGCTAAGAACAAGAAAGACAAAAGTCTCAATTTAATAACCTTCAGAATGTTGTCCAACTAGATTCAAAATTACAAAGCAGTGGCTTATGAAGATTTGGTCTGTAAAATAAGATGTTTTTCTGTTTTTTTTTTTCCAAAGAACATAAAAAAACTTAATATAGATAATAAAAGCATCCCCTTGACTCTAAGCATTCCCTAGAATTGTTGGTCCATGCTGGCTGGTTTTTGATTTGTGCATTAAAACTCAGGTAGAAAAAAAGGATCTCTCCCTTCATGTCACATTCTTCTTTAATCACAAGTTGAGGAACCAGAAAAAAAAATTGCACAGGTCTGTAAGAAATGACAGTTCCAAATATTCCAAATATTTCTTCTAGTTGTTTGTTTCTGTAATTCTATTATTAGTAACAGTCTTCTAACGCATAAAACTAATGACTAAATAATTATTCAACAGGAACATAATTCCAGTATATCAAGAATCAGAAAATTATGCGCAGGGACTAGTGTTGTGGGCAGCAGGTTAAGCTACCACTTTCTACGCCAGCATCCTGCAGAACCAAATCTTTGTACTGCTTTCATTTATAATTTATGCCTATCATATGTCTGTAAATTAGTGAATAGCTGAACACAACTTTCCCAAATGAATCATAAGCAGTATGAATATTCCAAAGGTATCAGTTTGTTTTATATTCTGATTATTGGCTATTACAAACTTCAGGGTTTTGTAATATTAATTCATTAATAGACTTCTAGCAGTTGTATCAGTTTTTTAGGATTTCAACTTTTTGAAAATCTTTCAGAGCCAGAAAGTGATGTGACAGGAAATTGCCACCTACAACATTGCTCAAGTCCTTGTGTTTGTTCAAGAACCACCGGGATCACCTCCCTACCAACAAAGCAGCAAAAGATATCCCAAATATTTGAGCCTCTGACACCCATGTGAGAGACCCAAATGGGGTGCTAAGCTCCTGACTTCTGCTTGGCCCACCCCAACTACTCAGGTCATTTTAAGAAGTGAGCCAGTGAGTGGAAGACCTTTCCTTGTCTTTCCTTCTACCTCTACCTTTCAAGTACAAAAACAGATTTCTTAAAAATTATGTGCAGCTTGCCAGAGATATCCTTGGAATAATTTGTATTTTAAAATGTAATTTTCCACTGATATAAATTTAGAGGACAACACGAGCTGGGGCAGCCAATGTCAGGAACTTCTGGCACCAGATGTCTTTATTTGATGAAGAATATCATAAATTCCTGCCACACCTGCTTGAGTCACTTGGTGACTTTGGCCAAGTCATTCAGTTTACCTGTTTGTATCACTTATACAAAAGCATTACAGGATTAGTAATTACAAAGGCATTCTTTTAACATACAGTTTCTGGAATGAATAACAACACAGGCTATTCTTAATTAGCTTAGCCCAAAAAAGTAAGGGATAGAGTTTAAGGAAATAGCATAGAAAATGAGGACTCCCAATAATGACTCCTCCCTCATCAGAAGGCTTTACCAGAGCTATTATTTACAAGCAACACAGACACAATGGATTAACGTTCCTCACTCCTGAACCTTCTAGGACATGCGTAAACACGGAAATAGCCACAAGGAAAACATAACACTCTGGATAACACAAAAAACCACCCTTCAAGAAGGTGAATCACCAGACAAAGACACTACCTGATTTTATTGTTACAATGGTCATCATTTCAAAGCACCAGAACGTAGAAAAAAGCACACATATAGATTTGGCAGCTAGTGACCATCTAACCAAATTATTGACTTGTCAATAATTTTCACATATAATTAAAGGAAGAACTTTTTGTATACTGTTTCTAAGGAGAATAAGCAATTTTGGTAAAAGCTAAACTTCCCTGCAATTTAAGTATACCTAAAAGGGACACAGTTCTATGTCAAACAAAAAGCAAGGACCATCTATGGAAATACTCTTTAATAAAACTTCTTTGCACAAGTGTTCAATTACACATGTATCCAAAGACCACATTAACTTCAGATGACTGTAGTCGCAAATGAGGTGACACAATAATTTTCTACTGCCTCATGGACACATGTCTAAAATCAACCAAGAGATCATTTTGTCTACCCATATGGTCCTATGCCTTTAAACCTGGGTTGAATCCTCTCACTACTCCTCCAAGCATTCCCTGAGGCCACAGCATAAAGCTGGTTATGTTTAGCACATCAGAGGTTTACTCTTGTTATAATTAAAAACACAACAAAGCAGCTGGTCACTATAAACTTCCTTGGTGGAATCCCTATAAGGTCTCCTCGCCAGCCACCGTTTGCTACGGTCTAAATGTGCGCACGTGTGCGTGTGTGTGTGTGTGTTGAAATTCAATGTTTCAACATTCAACTCCCCCAAAAGGATGGCAGTACAAGGTAAGGAGCCTTTGGGGAGGTGATCAGCTCATGAGAACTCAGTCTCTTAAATGGGACTAATGCCCTCATCCAAAGCTGTACTGCCCCTTCCTTCTCCCACATGAAGTTATAATGAAAAGACATCATGAAGGCACTGGGTCCTCATCACAACAAAAATCTGCCAGCAACTTGACCCTGGATGTGTTGGCCTCTAGGCCTCGGAAAAATACATTTCTGCTGTGTACAAGTTACTTGGTGTATGGGATTTTATTACTGCAGCTTCAATGAACTGAGACATTCCACCACACTGTCCATCCAACCTAAAGACACTGAGTTACACAACAGATGCTCCACTCAAAAACCTCACCACTGGTGAATGTGATCCAATCTTGAATGCAACTACGAGGTGATACTCAGAACATGGCACATAAAGATGCACTTGTTTTCTCCCTCAGCTATGGACGGTTTCAATGAGAACTGCAATTGGAAGCTCTACCGCTTGCTAGTCTCCAGATACTTGTCATAAACACTAATCTTCATTTTCCTGTTTCTACAAATACTCATAAGCAGAGGTATCCTTTTTCATTTCCTGTTTCCAAAATGACTTTAAAAATTCACAAAACAAACTGACATCAGAGTTTAATAAAACAATGAATTAACATTTTAAGCTATGATTTATTAGCTGACATCTTTCAACCACACTTTTTAAATGGCCAGGGCTGGAAGAGGTCAGAGCTAGCAGTCGGACTTTCCCCAAGCGGATGGCAGGAATCCAAGCACTGGACAGTCTTCTGTTGCTTTCCCAGGTGCATTAGCAGGGAGCTGAAATCAGAACCGAGTAGTAGGAACTAGAACAGGGGTGCATGTAAGAAGCCCACATTGCAGGTGGCAGCTTAAACTGAGCCACATGAGCTCTGCACTTTCTAACATATAGCCCCTCACATCACTAAACATTTACTATTACTAATGAAATTTCTGGAAAGATATAAAGTTATTATACTTTTCTGACAAACTGAAGCAAGGATTTTTGTTGTATTCTTTTTCACTTGACTTTTTCTTGACAACATAAATTCTGCTCATTAAACATTTGCATGTATAACAGACAGCCCTGTGCTGGATGAAACTGCACCTAGTTCAGATCAAAAAGCATCTCCCAGAACTTGACAAGGCACCTGGATCATAGCAGGTGCTCCAAAAACATTTAACATTCTGGCAACTTTTAATCCAGAACTTTTTCTGTGAATGCCCTAAAATCTGTTTTCTTCACAAGAATGAAATAAGGAAATTTCTGCCTTACTTTCTAGCAAATACTAGAAATGTCTTTTTGTTTGCATCATCAGCACTTCCATGGTAGTATTTTTTCGTTCATGTGTTTGTTTCCAGACAAGACAAACCTCACAATTGTGAAGTAGATCAGATCAACGGAGTAAAGTTTCTGATACACTCACTTGCACTGGTTATCTTCTATAAATGTTTTATATAGATTTTAAATTAATGACTTCTATCTAAATGTCAAGGTGCAACTTTTTAAAATAAAACAAAATTTGATTAGCCATCAATCACTTTTCCATAGGTAACACCTTTGGCATATGTAATTTAGATCTTAAAAGCAGCCAGTATAAATATTCATGATCACTTT